ATGCTCTCTTTCTTAGGATTTCTATAACAACTTTGTCACTTCATGGGAAGTGAGTGTTGAAGGTGCATCTGACAGTACTTTGGCAAAACTTTGGCAAAAGCCTAGTCTTTGACGGCATTTTTATTTTAAAATCTAGTCCTGAAAATGTCATTATTACTAGATCTCAATTAAATAAGTAAGTTAATTCCTTTTATTACTCAAGACAGACTTGCAACTAAACACATCCTACCTTTACAGGCACAAACTATGAAGATGGAATTTCATTTCACTATTTATTAACTTCTTCCACAGCTAGAGAATGCAATAACGTGAAGCCGTAATACAATGACCTTGATTCTATGCCACCTGAATTTCAAAACCATCTCAGGAACAGGTTTGAGGCCTTGAACACTAATGAGCCAAGACCTGATGATTTATGGCAGGATATCAAGAATACCATCCAGGAAGAATGCAAAATGTCATCACAAAGACAAAGGAGGAAGATAAGACCAAAATAGATGTCAGAAAACACTATGAACATTGCACTAGAGTGCTGAGAAGCCAAAGCAAAGGGAAGTAATATTAAGGAGTTGAACAGAAGGTATCAAAGGACAGTGTGGAAAGACAAGGTATTATAATGAAATGTACAAAGAGTTGGAGTAAAAAAATCAAAAGGGCCGAACTCACTCAGCATTTCTTAAGCTCAAGGAACTGAAGAACAAATTTAAGCCTGAGTTACAATACTTAAGAATGCTTTGGGCAGACTATTGAATGGTCCAGGAAGTATTAAAAGAAGATGGAAAGAGTATACAGTTATTATACCAAAAGAAGTTGGCAGACACAGAAGAATTTCATGAAACAGTGTATGAGCAAAAGCCTGTGATGGTGAAGAAGTTCTAGCTGCTCTGAAAGAACTGGCAAAAAAATAAGGCCTCAGGAATTGATGGTAGAGCAATTGATATATTTCAACAGATGATGCCCTAGATGTGCTCACCAAGTTGTGCCAAGAAATATGGAGGACAACTGACTGGAAGAGATCTATATTTGTTCCCATTCAAAAGAAAGGTGGTGGAGAGGAGTATTGAATATACCATGGACTGCTAAGAAAACGAACAGATTTGTCTAGGAGAGGGTGAAGCCAGGCTGCTCCTTGGAGGCAAGGATTCTGAAGCTTCATCTGACATACTTTGGATATGTTGCAAGGAGGGACCAGTTCTTGGAGAGGGATGTCATGCTTGGGAGGGTGGAGGGACAGAACAGGAGAGGAAGACCCTCTACAAGGTGGATTGATTCAGTGACTGGGGTAGTTGAGGTAGGTATATCGGAGATAGTGAGATTGGCATAGGATAGGGCAGAGTTTAGGATTGTTGTACCTAGGGTCTCTAGGAGTCACAGGTGACTCGACAGCACATAACACAACAACATTGTTAATTTGACCCTCTAGGGGTAGTTATTAAAAGACCATAATGTTCAAGGCCAATCCTTTTTTACTTGTTAAGCTAAATTGCTGTTCAGTTTTCAGATGACTTTAGAATATATTTTTGGTGTAAATGTTAAAGTTTATCACGGGAATAACTTCAGGGGTTCATTGACACCCCATAGCTCTTCAAAGGGTAGAATCCATGAGAAATTTAAACTATGTTTTGCATTTCCACAGAATCTTAGTTTAAAATATTCAATAAAGGAGGTCGACTTCCATTCAGTTCTTTTTGGTCCTTTAAGTAAGAGAGGCAATCTTTATAGAGGCAACTAGTCACATATTACACATTCTTTTCCTGTTCCTGACTCTCCTTTTTCTGCTATTCCAGGTGAAAAGAGACACAATTGTTGTATAGCAGACTGCAAGCTTTTAAGGTACACTGAACTAGGAGGAAGAATACAACCACAAAACATGCAATTGGGCCAATTAACTGGGATATCAACGAAAACAGAATTCTAAATCTCCAAACCAGGGCGCCAAATCCCATGAGATGAATGGCTGTACACAGGAGCCTCAGCACTTACTCTTTTCCCACAGTCAACACCCTTGGTACCAGCTGTCAGGAAATCAGGAGATGTATTGCACTGGACAAGTCCACTGTCAGGGACCTCTCCAAATTACTGAGGAGCAATGATGCCAGTATAGAGACTAAAGTACCCTGATTCAGGCTATGGTCTTTACCATCACTTACTATGTATCTGAGAGTAGGTCAATGAATAAAGGATGACAGAAAAAGAGTTGATGCCTTTGAGCTGTGATATTAGAGTACTGAATACCCCGTGGAATGCCAACAGAATGAACATACATGTCTTGGAGAAAGTGAAGCCAGAATGCTCCTTTGAGGTAAACAAAGATGACAAAGATTCATCTCACATATTTGGAGCATGCTGCTAAAAAGAGTCTCTTTCCTTGGAAAAAGACATCATGCTTGGAAAGGTGGAGGGTCAAAGCAAGGAAGAACCTCAGTGAAATGGCCTGACACAGTGACTGCAAAATGGGTTCTAATGTGACAGAAATTATGAAAGTGTCACCATATAGGACGGGGTTCAGATGTGTTGTTCACAGGGTCACCATGAGTCATATTCAGCTCAACAGCACCTAACAATAACATCATCATACCTGTATCTATAACACAACTTTTGCCAATTCATCTTTTTACAAGTATACAACTTTTTTAAAATTACAATAATCAGCTGTGCAATCCTACTCTTAATCAATGGGATTTTTCCATCATTAACTTCTCTTTTCCCCTTCCCTGCCACCACTGCTAACCTCTAATAAACTCTGGTCTTTATACATTTGCTTTCTCTTGTGTTTTTCATAAACCAGATCATACAATATTTGTCCTTTTCTGATTGGCTTATTTTACTCAAATAAATGTTTTCATGCTCCATGGATACTCTAAAATATATCAATAAAGCATTTTTTAATCTAAAGAAATATCTCAGACCATCACTATTTACTCTGTTATTATGTATAAATTCAGATAAGTTTAAAAAGTTAGAATAATCATTAGGACATTAAAAGACAGCAAACTTTTTCATTAAACCTTATCTCTAGGATTTTCATGAAATTAAAAATATACGCATTCACATAAGTAAATGTTGTTGTTAAATGCCATCGAGTCATAGGTGACTCAGAGACCCGATGAATAAATACAAATGTAATTTATATTTATATAAATATAAATATTCATTATAAATCAAGCAAGTCTATATTAACAAATTCTTGCCCTGATGTTAAAATGATAAAAGTCTAAGGAACTGAAGGTGCACTTTCCTCCTCTAGTTACCTCATTATAGATCAATATAGAAAAGGCATGAGGGGAACTAGTTGTCTCTGTATTTACTACAGAGTAAGAACACTGAAAAAATCCCAACTACTGACATTGTCATATCTGTTCTGTAAGCATGAAAAGGTAAATGTTAATGTTGCCAAGTCTAATTGCTACAGGCCTGCCTTCCTAAAAAGTAAGTGATCTCCTACACAGCTCCTTAGAAAACTGTCAGTCCATCATTAGTGTCATGAGTCTTGACTGGACATGTGTGTGTGTGTGTGTGTGTGTGTGTGTGTGTGTGTGTGTGTGTGTGTCCCATCCCCCACCCTTCCCGTGAGGCTAGGGAAAAGGCTGGAACTTTCCTATATGACAACACGGAGTTGACAAACTAGGCATGAAGCCAGAAGTTCTAGATGTCACATGACAAGAATCCACTCATGTTCAAGTGTTTCCTGAATCATGCAGTGTCAAAAAGTTTCATTACACAGTGGCTGAATCTCCTTGTGAGAACTCCACTGTAGCCCTGCTATATCTCTGTCAATAACTAAGAAGGTAATGGGCAATGGGAGACCCACATACTTCCATGAGTTTGCAATGGGAGACCCACATACTTCCATGAGTTTTCTCCCATTAAATGCTCCTCCAGCAGTTTGGTACATGTGTTAGGATGCCTGTTTGCTTTTCTACAAAGCAGTGCTTCTTACCACATAAAGGCTTCATGAAGTTGTTTTCTCGGCTAAGGCATAAAGAACATTTGTGGTCACCCTTTTGATATTACATGCTATTGGAAGATTCCTAACTGACCCTCCCAGCAAAGAATGTAAATCACATGAGAGGAGACTGACCATGTTCTCCTGGAGGATTAGAACTGCCTGCCTTTGGGTTGGTAGTGCCAATCCTTACTCACTAGGCCATCGGAGCTCCCTCCCATCTCTAAATATGGTTTAAGTAAGAGAGAGCTGGACAATGAATGAGGACGACAGAAAAATTGACGTCTTTGGACAGTGGTGTTGAAAAAGAGTGCTGAATATCCCACGAACACTGAAAGAACAAACAAATATGTCTTTTTTTTTTTTTCCTGCCTTAGGATTTATTTGTACAAATAACACAGGAGGACACCAGCCCCATGTAGATGGCAACAGCCCAGGGGGTCACACCAGTCCTTCTGTCCTCAGATGGAGAACTGAATTATAGAGCCTTTGCAGGAGCCTGGCTTGGAGCAGGAGCCTGAGTTGAGGACTTAGCTGGAGCTTCGGCCTTACTGTCAGCCTTGGCTTTTGGCCGGTTAGGCCTGAGCCCCTTGGCAATGCGGGCCCGAGCATGCTTCCCAAGCCTAGGATGGGCGATGTAGGCAAGTCGGCTGAGCTTGCGGTTGACTCCCCTTGGGATCCTGGGCTTGACCTCTTTGGGCTTGACAAGAGCCTTCACAGCCTCAGCACGTATCTCCATAAGAAAGTACAACCAGAGTGTTTTGTGGAGGTAATGATGACAAGGCTTTATCTTATATACTCCTGGTATGTTGCAAGGAGAGGCTATTTGTTGGAAAAGGACATCATGCTTGGAAAGACAGAGGGTTGCCCAAAGAGAGGAAGACCCTAAACGATATGGATTGACATAGTGACTGCTGCAATGGGCTCAAATGTGTCAGAAACTGTGAGGATGGGGCAGGATAGGATTGGGTTCAGATCTATTGTTCATAGGTTTGCTATGGGTCGTAGCAACTCAATGGTGTCTAAACACAAGATAAAAATTAGACAAGCCTACCTTACAATTACTGTTGACATTAGAGGCTCTGTTGTGGTTTTCTTCCACACATGGCATTTCTTCCAATCACTATTTGCATTTTTGCTGGCTTTTCTTTTCCAGGTGAAAACACTACTTGGCTTTGGTGTCAAATTAATATCTTCTAGCAGCTCATATCTTTCTAATAATTTTTCTAAGCCAGAGAGTTCAGCATCCTCACCTGGTAAAAAAGATAGCATTTAATCCAATTGAACAATGCTTCCCATCTTTGTATAGAAAATGTTCCATAAAATCAACTTGAGGAAGAAGAAGTTTTTTAAAAAGGCAGATTTTTTTTATTACTAGTTAAGCTAAACTGTTATTTAGTTCTGCCATTCCTTCATTCCAAAAATGTGACTGAACAGTATTTAATGGCCTCAGATGGTCCTAAACATGCAGCTGCTGTAAAGAAAATAAGCAAATGTGTGAAAAAAACAAAGTATACTAGCATCACTATGAATACTACTGGTTTTCTTTTTTTCAGCAGTAACAATTTTATTTAAGAGATATTGGGAAGCCAATAGAATCAATGTTCTTCCTTTGCCCATAGAGTTTTCGAAGGCCTGTTGCTTCAGAAGCAGATGGCCAGTGCTGCTTCTTAGTTTGTCTAAGGCTAGAAGCTCCACTGAAACTTGTCCCTGGGTGACCCTGTTGGCATTTTAAATAGCTGTGGCATTGCTTCCAGCATCACAGCAACATACAAGCCAGGACAATATGGCAAACTGACAGACAAGTGGATCAGTGAAAGAGAGGAAGACCCTCAGTGAGATAGATTTACATAGTGACAGGGCAAATTGTCGTAGTGACAATGAACTCAAGTAGGACAGAGATGAGGATGGCACAGGATAAGGCAAGGTTCAGATGTGTTGTTCATAAAGTCACTAGGTGTCATCATCAACCCGATGGCATCTGACAACAACAGTAGATAAATGGGAACAAACAAATCAGATGTGTTAACTATTACTTCCATATATATCTGCTGCCAAATGGTCTCAACTACTGGTTATAGTTTAATGCTTCTCAGATTGTTGTTATTGTTTTTAAGTGCCATCAAGTTGAACACACTCACAGTGACCCTATGAACAACAGGTCAGAATCTTACCATATCCTGCACCATCTTCAACACCTCTGCTGTGCTCAAGCCCGTGTTGCAGTCTCTGTGTCAGTCCACCTTGTTGAGGGCTGTCCTCTCTTTTGCTGACCCTCCACCTTTCCAAGGATGATATCTTTTTCCAGTGAGTGGAAACTTTTTGAGTTAATGTTATCTATTTGATCCCATATAGATAGTTCTTAGAAAAGCATAATGCTCAAGGCAGATTATTTCTTTTTCTATTTAAGCTAAGTCATTGTTTGGGTTTCTTCCAAAATTCTTACAAATGAAACAATAAGTAACAAGTATGATGAATGGAGAAAATATTTAAGTTGTCAGCTATTTCATTTTATTTGGTGACACAATCGAGAAATCAAATGATGAATTGCATTGGACAAATTTGCCAGACAAGGCCTCTTTACTGTGTTAAAAAGCAAAGATGACATTTTGAGGACTAAGGTGCCCTGTCATAGTTAATATTGTGTGTCAATATGGCTATGATCCCCAGTATAATGTAACTAATCTGTGTGTTATATAATCCATTATCTCTAGTACATCTACAGATAATATAAGAGTATATCTAAGATAATCTATTATATGTATACAATATGAATTACATTTCAACATCAAGAAAACAAAAAGTCTTTACCACTGGGTCAGTAGGAAACATCACAGTAGATGAGAAAAGATTGACATTTTAAATGAATTCATGTTACTTGGATCTCCACTAGACATTCTTCATACCAACAATCAGGAGATCAGGAGACATATTACATTGCAAAAGTCTGCTGTCAAGGACCTCTCCAAAGTACTAACAAGCTATGATGTCAACTTAAAGACTAAAGTGCATGTGATTTAAATCACAATCTTTTCAGCCTTTTGCTATGTGTTTGAGAGTTGGACAATGAATAAAATGACAGAAGATAGGTGATGGCTTAGAGTTGTGGTTCTGGAGAAGAATACTGAATATCCCATGGAGTGCTAAAAGAACAAATAAATATGTCTTGGAGAAAGTGCAAGCAGAGTGCTCCTTAAAAGTAAGGATGGCTAAACTTGGTCTCACATATATGCTTTGGGCATGTTGTTAGGCAGGGTCATTCCTTGAAAAGGGACGTCGTGCTCAGAAAGATGAGGAGGTCAGTGAGAGAGAGGAAGACTCTCAGACAGATTGATACAGAGACTGCAGCATGGGGCTGGAGTATGTCAGAGATAATGAGAATCGCACAGGGTAGGACAGGGTTCAAGTCCATTGTTCATAGGGTCACTAAGAGGCGTAGTCGACTCAAGGGCACCTAACAAGAGCACATCTGATTATCTGACTCGTGGTCTCTAGACTTAAATCAGTGGCCAGCTGTGCTTGCTGAACTTGGACTCAATCAGCATCCAAAGCAGGTCTTATGGGATTCTGTTTTGCAACAATGACTTTTGTACATGTCAGCCTCTGAAGCCAGTTGCCAGCAGTCTCCAAAGTCAGCTATCTGTAACTGCTTCCCAACAATGACCTTTCGGCATGTCAGCCTCTGAAGACAGTATCCTCCAAAGTCAGCAGCCTAAGACCCTGTCTGTCTGTTGATGACCTGGACTCTACTCTGCCTTCCAGATACCTCACCTCCCCAGATGCCTCCACTTTGAAGTCTGATTCACAGACCAGAGATTTACCTCTACAAGCACACAAGCCATTTCTGTGAAATAATATCTCTCCCTGTCTCTCCTCTCTCTCTGTAGACACACACACACACACACACACACACACACACACACACACACCCCTATTTCATTGGCCTTTCTTCTCTAGAGAAACCAGTCTAAGATACGCTAGGGTATTTTCAATTTCCTCCCATGCATGTGCAACACTCAACTGTTAAAAGACTCTACATAAGATGGCTGAGTAGACAGTAGGATAGTTCAGTCTGTCTTCATTGAAGACACCAGAAAATATACAGAATTTTGGAACACCAATACAAAAAAAAGAAGAAGAAGAAGGAAAGAAAGGAAACTGAACTCTGTTTTGAAGGAAAACAGACTCAGATGGAATAAAGGGGCATGAATAGCTATTTTAAACAGCTGTCTGCTTGTCATGGGAACCCAGGTTGGCAGCAGTGTTCACAAAGGTAGGTAACTGACTGGGGAGGTGCAATCTCCTCCTTTGTCCCCCATGGCCCCCTGGAAATCAGGATAGGTACTTTGTCCACAGCCACTCACTGAGTAATTGGCTACAAGCATTCCCTGGCCCATCTCAGCTGCATCTGACACAAGTTCTTCCCATTTTTTATTTGAGTCCAAGAGCATGCATAGTCTTAAATTAATTCACTCTCTTCCTCTCCCTCTTTCCCTCTTTTTCTCCCTCTTCCTCTTCCTCCCATCAGACTGTAGCACAACTAGCCTGTGGTTATGCCCTGAATTATCAGGAGTGCTATCTCAGACTGTGATCCTTCCCTTTCACCAATCACCTTTGCCCAGCATACATTATGACCATACTTGGAATAGTGGACTCTTTGCTGAATGCACCATCCTTGGGGATTTTGGGTCAGCAGTCATTATTCACTTTAGCCATATCTAGACTTGAGTATCTTATCAACACCCACCCTCTAGACTGGCAAAGGCACAATTCCTAGCCAAGTGAATTACTCAAGATTTCTCTGAGGAGATTTGTATCTCCTATTGGCAGTGATTTTGAGCAATTCTTTGTGTCTACTGGCCATCTAAATATCTTTTCTTTTTTAAAAATTTGATTATTTTTTGAGTGTGTTCCATCAAATCAGATCTGACTGGTACAGGAGAAGAATGTCCCTCCTTCTCCAGTAGAGCATTTGGTGGATTCGAACTGCACACCTCTGGGATTGCAGTGCAGCTTCTTGCCATTAGGCAACCAGAGCTCGCCGAAATATCTTTCTCTATGAAAAGTTTCTCTATATCTCTTGCCGATTTAGTAATTGTATTATCACTTATCATTCCTTACCACTAAGTGACCAGAGCTTCCTAAATTGTTTTAGACTTAGAACAACTGCCTAGGAAATTAGTAAACTTTCTTGTCAAAATAAAAAAAGGAGAGCAATCATAAGGATTTAGTAAACAGCAGCAATAAAGGAAATAAGAAAAATTAACTCAGTAAAGAAAAGCAGTTGGAACAAAGATATAAGCAGCACTACAAAACAGAATGCAGCGAAATTACAGCAAAAAAATTCATCCTTATCAATAATTAGATTGAATATTAATAGGCTACATGCACCAGCCCAGAGAAAATAAGTTGTTGATTGTGTTACGAAAACATGGTCCATCAATATGTGGCTTACAAAATTTAACAGAACAGCAAGCAACAAATGCTAGCAAGATTGTGGAGAAACTGGAACCCTTATTCACTGCTGGTGAGAGTGTAAAATGGTGCAACCACTATGGAAGACGGTATGGCGCTTTCTCAAAAAGTTGCAAATAGAGATACCATTTGATCCAGCAATTCCACTGTTGGGAATATACCCCAAAGAGACCCTAACTGACATCCAAGCAGATATAAGCACACCCATGTTTATTGCGGCTTTGTTCACTATAGCAAGGAGTTGGAAACGACCTAAGTGCCCATCAACAATGGATAGAGAAGCTGTGGTATATTCGCACAATGGAATACTATGCTGCATTGAAAACCAAAGAACTCATGCAATATTATTCAAAATGGGTGACTCTAGAGGACAGTATGCTGAGTGAAGTATCCCAGTCACAAAAGGACAAATACTGCATTGTGCCACTGTCGTAAAACAGGACTGACCTTGGGGTTGGGGAGAGGCTGAGAAAGATGGGTTCAATAATGTATACTGCATTGAAACAGATGAGGGAGAAAACTGTTTAAAAGGGATATGTGATTAGGTATTTTTGTCATGACAAAGTCTAGAGTGAAGGCTACGTGGTGGAGTGGACCTGGGGGAGGGTTTGTAAAACAATGAAAGAATTTTTCTTTTACTTTTCCAAGAGGGTAGTGTACTAGGGGGGGAGGGTTAGGAGGGGAGAGAAGTGCAACAATGAATGAATGGAAATCCAAAATCTCTGTAAATTTTTACTGAAAGTAATAATAAATTTAAATTTTAAAAAATATGTGGCTT